CCCCCCGAGGGTCCCCTTCCCCCAGGGTCCCACTGTGACCCCCCCAGGGTCCCCTTCCCTCCGGGCACAGTGGACCAGCCACCGCCTCCTTTCTGTCTCAGTGCTGCAAGACCTTTCTCCTCTTCCTCTGCCTCCTGGTCACACAGGCTTTGCACATTGTTTTCAACTAAAGCCAAGTGTCCCTGAATTCACACGTTACACTTCAATCTCCCAGAGCGGGGCCCAGGTCTGACCTAGGGGAGGGAGTGGTGAGGAATGATGGGTTTTAGGAGGAGAGAGACCCCAGAGGGAGGGGCTGCGTCTGCACCAGGAGGCAGGCTGACCCCACAGCAATCTGCACAGACCTTCAGCCTCAAGCACCTTGGGAGATGCATGCCTTTTGGGATGACCTAAGAAGGTCATGTCATCCCTTTGTGCCATTTTGCTAGAGCAGCCTAGAGGCCCTGGGACACCTGACCACCCAGAGCGCCCACACCCCTGCCCACACCGACTGCCCCAGGTGCCCAGAGCGCCCACACTCCTGCCCACACCGACTGCAGATGCCCAGAGCGCCCACACCCCTGCCCACACCGACTGCAGATGCCCAGAGCACCCACACCCCTGCCCACACCGACTGCCCCAGGTGCCCAGAGCGCCCACACCCCTGCCCACACCGACTGCCCCAGGTGCCCAGAGCGCCCACACCCCTGCCCACACCGACTGCAGATGCCCAGAGCACCCACACCCCTGCCCACACCGACTGCAGATGCCCAGAGCACCCACACTCCTGCCCACACCGACTGCAGATGCCCAGAGCACCCACACCCCTGCCCACACCGACTGCAGATGCCCAGAGCACCCACACTCCTGCCCACACTGACTGCCCCAGGTGCCCAGAGCGCCCACACTCCTGCCCACACTGACTGCAGATGCCCAGAGCGCCCACACTCCTGCCCACACTGACTGCAGATGCCCAGAGCACCCACACTCCTGCCCACACTGCCCTAGGTGCCCAGAGCACCCACACCCCTGCCCACACCGACTGCCCCAGGTGCCCAGAGCGCCCACACCCCTGCCCACACCGACTGCAGATGCCCAGAGCACCCACACTCCTGCCCACACTGACTGCAGATGCCCAGAGTACCCACACCCCTGCCCACACCGACTGCAGATGCCCAGAGTGCCCACACTCCTGCCCACACCGACTGCAGATGCCCAGAGCACCCACACTCCTGCCCACACCGACTGCAGATGCCCAGAGCACCCACACCCCTGCCCACACCGACTGCAGATGCCCAGAGCACCCACACTCCTGCCCACACTGACTGCCCCAGGTGCCCAGAGCGCCCACACTCCTGCCCACACTGACTGCAGATGCCCAGAGCGCCCACACTCCTGCCCACACTGACTGCAGATGCCCAGAGCACCCACACTCCTGCCCACACTGCCCTAGGTGCCCAGAGCACCCACACCCCTGCCCACACCAACTGCCCCAGGTGCCCAGAGCGCCCACACCCCTGCCCACACAGACTGCAGATGCCCAGAGCACCCACACTCCTGCCCACACTGACTGCAGATGCCCAGAGTACCCACACCCCTGCCCACACCGACTGCAGATGCCCAGAGTGCCCACACTCCTGCCCACACCGACTGCAGATGCCCAGAGCACCCACACTCCTGCCCACACTGACTGCAGATGCCCAGAGCGCCCACACTCCTGCCCACACTGACTGCCCCAGGTGCCCAGAGCGCCCACACCCCTGCCCACACCGACTGCAGATGCCCAGAGCACCCACACTCCTGCCCACACTGCCCCAGGTGCCCAGAGCGCCCACACCCCTGCCCACACTGACTGCCCCAGGTGCCCAGAGCACCCACACCCCTGCCCACACTGACTGCAGATGCCCAGAGCGCCCACACCCCTGCCCACACCGACTGCAGATGCCCAGAGCGCCCACACCCCTGCCCACACCGACTGCAGATGCCCAGAGCGCCCACACTCCTGCCCACACTGACTGCCCCAGGTGCCCAGAGCACCCACACTCCTGCCCACACTGACTGCAGATGCCCAGAGCACCCACACTCCTGCCCACACTGACTGCAGATGCCCAGAGCGCCCACACCCCTGCCCACACTGACTGCCCCAGGTGCCCAGAGCGCCCACACCCCTGCCCACACCGACTGCAGATGCCCAGAGCGCCCACACTCCTGCCCACACTGACTGCCCCAGGTGCCCAGAGCGCCCACACCCCTGCCCACACTGACTGCCCCAGGTGCCCAGAGCGCCCACACCCCTGCCCACACTGACTGCCCCAGGTGCCCAGAGCGCCCACACCCCTGCCCACACCGACTGCAGATGCCCAGAGCGCCCACACTCCTGCCCACACCGACTGCCCCAGGTGCCCAGAGCGCCCACACCCCTGCCCACACCGACTGCAGATGCCCAGAGCGCCCACACTCCTGCCCACACTGACTGCCCCAGGTGCCCAGAGCGCCCACACCCCTGCCCACACTGACTGCCCCTGGTGCCCAGAGCGCCCACACCCCTGCCCACACTGACTGCCCCAGGTGCCCAGAGCGCCCACACCCCTGCCCACACTGACTGCCCCAGGTGCCCAGAGCGCCCACACCCCTGCCCACACTGACTGCCCCAGGTGCCCAGAGCGCCCACACCCCTGCCCACACTGACTGCAGATGCCCAGAGCGCCCACACCCCTGCCCACACTGACTGCAGATACCCAGAGCGCCCACACTCCTGCCCACACTGACTGCAGATGCCCAGAGCACCCACACTCCTGCCCACACCGACTGCAGATGCCCAGAGCACCCACACCCCTGCCCACACCGACTGCCCCAGGTGCCCAGAGCGCCCACACTCCTGCCCACACTGACTGCCCCAGGTGCCCATAGCGCCCACACTCCTGCCCACACTGACTGCCCCAGGTGCCCAGAGCGCCCACACTCCTGTCCACACTGACTGCAGATGCCCAGAGCGCCCACACCCCTGCCCACACTGACTGCAGATGCCCAGAGCACCCACACCCCTGCCCACACTGACTGCAGATGCCCAGAGCACCCACACCCCTGCCCACACTGACTGCAGATGCCCAGAGTGCCCACACCCCTGCCCACACCGACTGCAGATGCCCAGAGCGCCCACACCCCTGCCCACACCGACTGCAGATGCCCAGAGCACCCACACTCCTGCCCACACCGACTGCAGATGCCCAGAGCACCCACACTCCTGCCCACACTGCCCCAGGTGCCCAGAGCACCCACACCCCTGCCCACACTGACTGCCCCAGGTGCCCAGAGCACCCACACTCCTGTCCACACTGACTGCCCCAGGTGCCCAGAGCGTCCACACCGCTGCCCACACTGACTGCCCCAGGTGCCCAGAGCACCCACACTCCTGCCCACACCGACTGCAGATGCCCAGAGCGCCCACACCCCTGCCCACACTGACTGCAGATGCCCAGAGCGCCCACACTTCTGCCCACACTGCCCCAGGTGTCCAGAGCGCCCACACTCCTGCCCACACCGACTGCAGATGCCCAGAGCGCCCATACCCCTGCCCACACTGACTGCAGATGCCCAGAGCGCCCACACCCCTGCCCACACTGACTGCCCCAGGTGCCCAGAGCGCCCACACTCCTGTCCACACTGACTGCAGATGCCCAGAGCGCCCACACCCCTGCCCACACTGACTGCAGATGCCCAGAGCACCCACACCCCTGCCCACACTGACTGCAGATGCCCAGAGCGCCCACACTCCTGCCTACCCCGACTGCAGATGCCCAGAGCGCCCACACCCCTGCCCACACTGACTGCAGATGCCCAGAGCGCCCACACTCCTGCCCACACCGACTGCAGATGCCCAGAGCGCCCACACCCCTGCCCACACTGACTGCAGATGCCCAGAGCGCCCACACCCCTGCCCACACTGACTGCCCCAGGTGCCCAGAGCGCCCACACTCCTGTCCACACTGACTGCAGATGCCCAGAGCGCCCACACCCCTGCCCACACTGACTGCAGATGCCCAGAGCGCCCACACTCCTGCCTACACCGACTGAAGATGCCCAGAGCGCCCACACCCCTGCCCACACTGACTGCAGATGCCCAGAGCGCCCACACCCCTGCCCACACTGACTGCAGATGCCCAGAGCGCCCACACTCCTGCCTACACCGACTGCAGATGCCCAGAGCGCCCACACTCCTGCCCACACTGCCCCAGGTGCCCAGAGTGCCCACACCCCTGCCCACACTGACTGCAGATGCCCAGAGCGCCCACACTCCTGCCCACACTGCCCTAGGTGCCCAGAGTGCCCACACCCCTGCCCACACTGACTGCAGATGCCCAGAGCGCCCACACCCCTGCCCACACTGACTGCCCCAGGTGCTCAGAGCGCCCACACTCCTGCCCACACTGCCCCAGGTGTCCAGAGCACCCACACTCCTGCCCACACCGACTGCAGATGCCCAGAGCGCCCACACTCCTGCCCACACTGACTGCAGATGCCCAGAGCGCCCACACCCCTGCCCACACCGACTGCCCCAGGTGCCCAGAGCACCCACACTCCTGCCCACACTGCCCTAGGTGCTCAGAGCGCCCACACTCCTGCTGCACTGACTGCCCCAGGTGCCCAGCAGACTTCCCTGGGAGGTGGTCCCTGGTACAGGACAGACTGACAGGCCCAGAGAGCTCAGCCGGCACTTCTTACAATGAGGGCACATGCCATACATGCACAAATCTTTGCAACAGGACGCAAACAACCCAGTTTACTATAAATCCCACACAAGAGAGAAGGTAGCGGTGATGGGTTTCCATTGTGTCTGAGAGACCTGGCCTAGAATCCTCCGGCCTGAGCAAGCCTAGCCTGGCTGGCCATGTGTTGTCCGCCAATCCTGAGCACACCGGACAGCTCTCCCCATGGCTGCATGGCTGCCTTTGGACTTGGGGTCACCTCTGAGAATTCTCACACAGAAACATTGTAAAGAAAGAAAATTCTCCATGAGAAAATGGTTTTACAGAAAGTATCTGTTTATTTTGGCTCACATATGCACACAGCACAGAAGTAAGCAGGCTTTCCACAGGCCAGGCCCCTCGACCTTTGTGGCCAGTCGATTTTACAGCTCAAAGCTGAAGGGATACATGGGGAAGAGTTAGGTGCAGGTCCATCAGCCACAGGCTGAGCCACCCAAGCCCAGAGGTGGTGTCCTGTGGTCCAGCCCGTTGGTGTCCAGTGTCCTTCGCTGGGCAAGTCACTTCACCTGCAGGCAACAGACACAGGGAGGGTGAGCCGTGGTCCCCCAACAAGCAGAGGTGGGGTAGGAGAACGGGGTCCCAGCACCTCTGTCAGCCCAGGCCGCTCCCTGCCCCGGTCAGCCCCAGGGCCCGCTCAGCCCCAGCCAGGCTACCTTGAACAGGGTCACAGTGGTGCTGTAGAAGAGGCTCAGGAGGAAGAGAACGATGAAGGTGGAGGCCGTGGTCCAGAGGTTCTCGAAGCCCTCCTCCTCGGCGCTCACCTCTCCCTCTGTGAGGGGCACAGAAGGAGGGTCAGAGTGGGGTGGAGGCTCGCGGGGCAGTACAGTCTGGTGCTGGCTGGACGCCTGCCTGCTACCTGCCCTAGGGCTGGAGGAGGCCTGGCCAGCACAGGACGGGCTCCTTGAGCGCTAGCTGGACAGAGGAGAGCATGGCCAAGCAGCGGCAGGCAGTGAGCCCTGGCGGCAGACAGAGCACGAGAGGCGCAGCACGCGGGCGCGGGTGCAGGAAGCGCGGGCTCAGGCAGGGGCTCTGCTGTGTCCTGCTCTCTGTGCGGGGCCCAGAGCCAGGGCCGCGGGGCCGCGTGGCGGCTGACACACTGAAGCCCCTTGCTTTGGGACGGGGCAGATGGAGATGGAGATGAGGCTGCCTGTTCCCCCTTCCCGGCCAGCACTCTGACACCTGCTCCCCAGCGAAGCAGAGTCCCCACGAGTGCCTGTCCCTCCCCTCCCCCGCAGCCATGGCTCCGGGCCAGGGGACGGGAGATGAGCACGCTCGGCAAGGCCTCTGCCTGGGAATGCAGGGGCAGCTGCAGCTCAGCCCACAGGGCTGAGTGCACGGCAGGGTCTAGGGGCCACCGCAGCCAGGCAGCGTCTGGCGGGCACGTGGCCTTTGCCGGGTCTCTGTCTTCCCTCCCTGTCTCTCCTGGGCAGCTAGCTTCTGCGGCCGGCCTGGGAAGCAGGGCACATGCACTCAGACTGGTCTCCTGTGGCTTCCTACTAACGGGGAGCAGCCAAGAAGAGCAGGCCTGGACCCCGCTCGCTCTATTAGCATGTTTCCCCACACCTGGGGCTGGAGGGGCCTGCTGCCCCCACCTGGAGCCCCGGCAGGTGGGCACGCTGCATCCTCGGGCACAGAGGGGCTTTCCTAGAAGCTGCGGTGGCTCAGCCCTGGCTGTGAGCCCGGGCTTGGACCCAGGGACGGCGCCCCGGGTCAGAGGCCAGGCTGGGCTGGGCTGTGGACGTATGACTGCAGAGAAGTATGACAAGCAGAGCCATGCGGGAGAAGCCCTGAGCTAGCACAGTGCAGCAGAGCGGCCCTGCGGGCGTCTGTGCGCCTTGTCTGTGCCCACATGCACACGTGTCCCTGTGTGCAGGACTGTGCTAGGTCTGCATCTCTGGATGCACACATGTTTGTGCTCCCATGTCTGTAGTCTGTGTTTGAGTGACTGTGTTTACTTTTGCCCTGCCTCTGCTTGTGTGCACACATGTGTGTAGGTGTGCATGCATCCGTGGGGATCAGAGCCTGCCAGTGCTTGTGTGCACACATGTGTGTAGGTGTGCATGCATCCGTGGGGATCAGAGCCTGCCAGTGCTTGTGTGCACACATGTGTGTAGGTGTGCATGCATCCATGGGGCTCAGAGCCTGCCAGTGCTTGTGTGCACACATGTGTGTAGGTGTGCATGCATCCGTGGGGATCAGAGCCTGCCAGTGCTTGTGGGCACACATGTGTGTAGGTGTGCATGCATCCGTGGGGCTCAGAGCCTGCCAGTGCTTGTGGGCACACATGTGTGGTGCCTGCTTATGTGTCTCTTCCTGCTCATGAGCATTGTTTGTTGCATGCATGAGTCCATGTGTGTCCACTCGTGTCCCATGAGCCATTGCATCTCTCTGCTTAGGAATGTATGTTTGCACGTGTGCACACATTTACACGTGGGTGGCTGTCTATGTTTCCATGTGTGTGTGTTGCCACGTGCCTTCGCGCAGGGCTCCGTGTGTGCATGGTGTGGGGTGCACGGGCCCTTCCTGAGGTCACACAGAGGCAGAGCAGAGCCAAGAGGGAGGCGCTCTGCAGGGGGTGGGCACCGCCCGCCACCGTTCCCGCAGGCAAGAGCACTGCACACTCAAGACCAGCATCTTTTGAGAGGATCGTTTTATTTCTACTTTATAGAAGGCATCGCCTCACCCGCTGGCACAGTTAGATGCATGCACGCACACAGAGCCCCCGGCCCCAGAGCCTGCCTGCGGGGCCACAGGGTCAGTAGCAAGTGTTGGCTGTGTCGGACAGGATCAGGGACACGTTGTACAGAGTGGGTTTACCAGAGGACTTGTCCACGGTCCTCTCCGTCACCATGTATGGCAGGGCCTGGTGAGCCACGACGCAGGTGAAGGTCTCCCCGGAGTTCCAGTCCTCCTCGGACACCGTCAGGAGGCTGTGGGTGAAGTAGAGGCCTGGGGCCTGGGGCTCAGGCACCGGGGCGCTGGTCACGTACTTGTCCTCGGACAAGGGCCGCCCCCTGTGAAGCCACTGCACAAAGACGTCCGGGGGAGAGAAGGCCTTCACCAGGCAGCTGATTGTGGCTGACTCCCGCAGGGCCAGCTGCTCCCGGGCTGGGGGCAGCAGGTACACGGCGGGCGGGTGCTTGGCCACATCTGTGAGCAAGGAGACGGTGGTGAGTCAGGGTGGGCACGGTCAGCCGCCCTCCCGGGGCCCGGGACGGGGCCCGGACAGGGGTGGACTGGAGCCTGCCTACCTCTGTGCTTGAAGATGGTCTGCTTCACCGGGGAGGGCAGGTCCGCGTGGGTCACGGTGCACGTGAACCTCTCCCCAGACTCCCAGTCTTCCACACACACGCTGGCCTCCCCTGTGACGCTGAACGTGCCGTTCGGGTGGCTGCTGAAGTCTTTGGTCTCGGTTCTCAGGGCCTCGCCGCTCTGGCGTGTCCAGGAGATGTTCAGGCTTTCATAGGAGCCCAGGTCTGTGACCAGGCAGGACAGCCTGGCTAACTTGTTGAGGAAGATGTCAGCAAAGGAGGGGGCTGTGGTGAAGACTTGGATGTCTGTGGACGTAACTGTGGTCAACAGAACACTGCTGTCAGCACTGGGTGCCAAGCCTGGGAAGGGCTTTGCTTCCTCCCCAACAGTAGCAGCTGCCTTGCTGAGTCTGCCCGGTCCTGTTGCAGGGCGACCCTTGTCCCTTCCCGGGCCTCCCTCCCCCGCTGTCCCTGACCCTGCTCTCACACTTGACCACGCTGTGCAGCCAAGTGTCAGGAGCAGAGAGACATGTGCGGCGGAGTCTGCCATGCCTGAGTGTGTGCGTGCGCGTGCGCGTGTGTCCATGTGTACCCTGGCTAGGACCTTGGGCACTGGACTCAGAGAAAGTCACTCACCAGCATTGCACATGGATGACACATTCTTCACAAAAGTGAGTCCTTGGTGATCCACACGGCAGGTGAACACGCTTTGCCTGAGCCACTCGAGTTCGGTGATGGTCAGCTGGCTGGTGATGCTGAAGGTGCGGGGCTTGGACTCGGCGGTGGCCTCTGCCCTCACCTCTTCAGTGGTGAAGCCGGACGTCACAGGCCGTCCATCTCGTAGCCAGGACACTGTGATCTGCTTGGGGCTGAAGCCTGTGGCCTGGCAGATAAGACTGGACTTGCGTGGGCCGGGGCCAGAGAAGGCGTCTCGCGGTGGGATGAACACGGTCACATTGGGGGGCTGGTTTCCAACCTCTGCAGCGGAGGGGGGAGGCATTAGTGGGGTCTGGTCCAAGCCCCGCCCACTGTACCCGACCAGCTTCTGCGCCCACACTGGGGAGGGGTCGGCTCTCACCTGGAAGAGGCACCCGCAGGTCTTGGTTTTGTTGACCATGCTTGACTTTGCACACCAGGTAGTCGTCTGTGCCTTGCAGGACATCCTGGGAGGGCAGCAGCACCTGCGAGGTGGCCGCGAACTTGACCCCCTCCGGCAGTGTTGGGAATGTGGTGACGCCCTGTGTCACGGCGGTGTTGTTCTTGTAATTCCAGGAGAAGGAGATGGAGCTGGGCAGGAAGTCCCGTGCCAGGCAGCCCACGGCCACCAGGCTCTCATCGGACAGGGGGCTCTCGCAGGACACGAGGGGGAAGACGCTTGGGGGGGATGGGCTTGCTGGGACCCGGAGGGACAGAAAGAAAGGAGGGTGAGAAGTGCGCCCCCCGCCGTGGCCAGGCCCTGGCTCTGCCCTCCCAGGGCGGCCGCCCGCTCCGCGCCGGGTCCCCTGCAGTGCTCTAAGAGCTGCAGGTGGCTGCTAGGAGGCATGGTGCTTCTGGCACCAGGCTGGGGGGAGCGAGGGGCTCTCAGGTTGGAGATGGGCGTGTGCTAGAACTGGGATCTGGCTGTCAACAGCCAACACCATGCAGTGCCGACCCCGTGCTCAGACCAGGCTGTGTCCCAACTCCCACCAGAATGGCTCAGGCCCAGGCCCAGGCCCAGGCCCAGGCTCAGGCTCAGGCTCAGGCCCAGGCCCAGGCCCAGGCTCAGGTTCAAGCTCAGGCTCAGGCCCAGGCTCAGGCCCAGGCCCAGGCCCAGGCTCAGGCTCAGGCTCAGGCCCAGGCCCAGGCCCAGGCCCAGGCCCAGGCCCAGGCCCAGGCTCAGGCTCAAGCTCAGGCTCAGGCCCAGGCTCAGGCTCAGGCCCAGGCTCAGGCCCAGGCCCAGGCCCAGGCTCAGGCTCAGGCTCAGGCCCAGGCTCAGGCCCAGGCCCAGGCCCAGGCCCAGGCTCAGGCTCAGGCCCAGGCCCAGGCTCAGGCTCAGGCTCAGGCTCAGGCTCAGGCTCAGGCCCAGGCCCAGGCTCAGGCTCAGGCTCAGACCCAGGTCCAGGCTCAGGCTCAGGCTCAGGCTCAGACCCAGGTCCAGGCTCAGGCTCAATCTTGCTACCTCTATTTCATCTGGAGTCAGTCCAAGGTGCCAGCATGCCACACTTGGTGTGCCTGAGGCACACCCTGAGCCCAGCTCAGGCTTCGAGTTGTACACCAGAGACGCTGCTGCTCCGCCCCAGGGCAGCGCCCAGCCCAGTCATACTGAAGTCACTGTTAAGCCCCTCTAAGGGTCAGTGGGATGGGGTGAGGGGAGGTAGGATGGGAGAACACATGTAAAACCAACTTGACCCTCTACCTAGATTCAAGATCACAAACACCTGCCCAGACCCCAGGACCAATCAGTGAGGACAACACAGCCCAGATGGACCACCCAGCCTGTTGAGGTCACTTAGCTCAAAGCAGCTAGAGCTATTCAGATCAAGCCTTTCTCAGCAGCACAGCTACCTCTGGCTCTGAGCGTCAGCTCCGCTTAGCTTGAGCCAGCTCAGGACAGTTCAGCTTAGCACAATCCAGCTATGTCCAGCTCAGGCCAGCACAGGCCAGCTCAGGCCAGATCAGCTTAGCTCAATCCAGCTCCTTGGCTCACCCAAGCACAGCTCACCCTAGGCCAGCTCAGCTCAGCTCACCTCAGCCCAGCTCAGCCCAGCCTAGCTCAGCTCACCCCAGCCCAGCTCAGCTCAGCCCAGCTCAGCTCAGCCCAGACCAGCTCAGCCCAGCCCAGCTCAGCCCAGCCCAGCCCAGCTCAGCCCAGCTCAGCCCAGTTCAGCTAAGCCCAGCCCAGCTCAGCCCAGCTCAGCCTAGCTCAGCCCAGCCCAGCTCAGCCCAGCCTAGCTCAGCTCACCCCAGCCCAGCTCAGTTCAGCTCACCCCAGCCCAGCTCAGCCCAGCCCAGCCCAGCCCAGCCCAGCCCAGCTCAGCCCAGCCCAGCTCAGCTCACCCCAGCTCAGCCCAGCCCAGCTCAGCCCAGCCCAGCCCAGCTCACCCCAGCTCAGCTCACCCCAGCCCAGCTCACCCCAGCCCAGCTCACCCCAGCTCAGCCCAGCTCAGCCCAGCCCAGCTCAGCCCAGCTCAGCCCAGCCCAGCTCAGCCCAGCTCAGCTCACCCCAGCTCAGCTCACCCCAGCCCAGCTCACCCCAGCTCAGCTCAGCTCAGCTCAGCTCAACTCAGCCCAGCCCAGCCCATCTCAGCCCAGCCCATCTCAGCCCAGCCCAGCTCAGCTCAGCTCACCCCAGCCCAGCTCAGCTCAGCCCAGCCCAGCCCAGCCCAGCTCAGCCCAGCCCAGCCCAGCCCAGCCCAGCCCAGCCCAGCTCAGCCCAGCTCAGCTCAGCTCAGCCCAGCCCAGCTCAGCTCACCCCAGCCCAGCTCAGCCCAGCCCAGCCCAGCCCAGCCCAGCTCAGCTCAGCTCACCTCAGCCCAGCTCAGCCCAGCTCAGCCCAGCCCAGCCCAGCCCAGCCCAGCTCAGCCCAGCTCAGCTCAGCTCAGCTCACCCCAGCCCAGCTCACCCCAGCTCAGCCCAGCTCAGCCCAGCCCAGCTCAGCCCAGCTCAGCCCAGCCCAGCTCAGCCCAGCTCAGCTCACCCCAGCTCAGCTCACCCCAGCCCAGCTCACCCCAGCTCAGCTCAGCCCAGCCCAGCCCAGCTCAGCCCAGCTCAGCCCAGTTCAGCTAAGCCCAGCCCAGCTCAGCCCAGCTCAGCCCAGCCCAGCTCAGCCCAGCCTAGCTCAGCTCACCCCAGCCCAGTTCAGCTCACCCCAGCCCAGCTCAGCCCAGCCCAGCTCAGCCCAGCTCAGCTCAGCTCAGCCCAGCCCAGCTCAGCTCAGCTCAACCCAGCCCAGTTCAGCTCACTCCAGCCCAGCCCAGCCCAGCTCAGCTCAGCTCAGCTCAGCCCAGCTAAGCTCACCCCAGCCCAGCTCACCCCAGCCCAGCTCACCCCAGCCCAGCCCAGCTCAGCTCAGCTCACCCCAGCCCAGCTCAGCCCAGCCCAGCCCAGCCCATCTCAGCTCACCCCAGCCCAGCCCAGCCCAGCTCAGCTCACTCCAGCCCAGTTCAGCTCAGCTCAGCTCACCCCAGCCCAGTTCAGCTCACCCCAGCCCAGCTCAGCCCAGCCCAGCCCAGCTCAGCTCAGCCCAGCCCAGCTCAGCTCAGCCCAGCCCAACCCAGCTCAGCTCAGCTCAGCTCAGCCCAGCTCAGCCCAGCCCAGCCCAGCCCAGCCCAGCACAGCCCAGCCCAGCCCAGCTCAGCCCAGCTCAGCCCAGCCCAGCTCAGCCCAGCTCAGCTCAGCTCACCCCAGCCCAGCCCAGCTCACCCCAGCTCAGCTCACCCCAGCCCAGCTCAGCCCAGCCCAGCTCAGCTCAGCCCAGCCCAGCCCAGTCCAGCTCAGCTCACCCCAGCCCAGCTCAGCCCAGCCCAGCCCAGCCCAGTCCAGCTCAGCTCAGCCCAGCCCAGTTCAGCTCAGCTCAGCTCACCCCAGCCCAGTTCAGCTCACCCCAGCCCAGCCCAGCCCAGCCCAGCCCAGCTCAGCCCAGCCCAGCTCAGCTCACCCCAGCTCAGCTCACCCCAGCCCAGCTCAGCCCAGCCCAGCCCAGTTCAGCTCAGCTCAGCTCACCCCAGCCCAGCTCAGCCCAGCCCAGCCCAGTTCAGCTCAGTTCAGCTCAGTTCAGCTCACCCCAGCCCAGCTCAGCCCAGCCCAGCTCAGCTCAGCCCAGCCCAGTTCAGCTCAGCTCAGCTCACCCCAGCCCAGTTCAGCTCACCCCAGCCCAGCCCAGCCCAGCTCAGCCCAGCCCAGCTCAGCTCACCCCAGCTCAGCTCACCCCAGCCCAGCTCAGCCCAGCCCAGCCCAGCTCAGCTCAGCCCAGCCCAGCCCAGCTCAGCTCACCCCAGCCCAGCTCAGCCCAGCCCAGCCCAGCTCAGCTCAGCCCAGCCAGCCCAGCTCAGCCCAGCCCAGCTCAGCCCAGCCCAGCTCAGCCCAGCTCAGCTCAGCTCAGCCCAGCCCAGCTCAGCTCAGCTCAGCCCAGCCCAGCTCAGCTCAGCCCAGCCCAGCCCAGCTCACCCCAGCCCAGCCCAGCTCACCCCAGCTCAGCTCAGTTCAGCCCAGCCCAGCCCAGCCCAGCTCAGCTCAGTTCAGCTCACCCCAGCCCAGTTCAGCTCAGCTCAGCTCACCCCAGCCCAGTTCAGCTCACCCCAGCCCAGCTCAGCTCAGCCCAGCTCAGCCCAGCTCAGTTCACCCCAGCCCAGCCCAGCCCAGCTCAGCTCAGTTCAGCCCAGCCAGCCCAGCTCAGCTCAGTTCAGCCCAGCCCAGCCCAGCTCAGCTCAGCTCAACTCAGCCCAGCCCAGCTCAACTCAGCTCACCCCAGCTCAACTCAGTTTACCCCAGCTCAGTTCAGCTCAGCCCAGCTCAGCTCAGCTCACCCCAGCTGCACTCAGCTCAGTTTAGCCCAGCTCAGCTCAGCTCAGCTCAGCTCAGCTCAGCCCTGTTCATTCTGGTTAGCTCCGGCCGCGTGGCCAGCCTGGTTCTTCTCTAGCCTTCTGAACAATGCTATAAGTCATTCCTGAAGAGCCAGGCCAAGGCACTTGTGTCAGCGAAGCCTGATTCCTCCCATGGCCCTGGCTCTCTGCCTACCACTGCTCTGCCTTTCGACGTCCAAGCTGGCTCATTTGCCTTAGCCTTCAATAACCGGGAAGAGTATTTCCTGCCAACTGTAAAACTTACTAAAACACCTTGGAGTTCAGATAGAAATACATAAGGTCATTTCCAATGACAAGCTATTTGTTCTCCAGAGTCCACTGCTTTGCCAAGGGTAGGGGGCACCTAAGGGGAGTCTAGACTCCCCTAGAGCCGCTGACTCCCTCAGGACCCCTTATCCAGAATCACTCCATTCTGAGTGTAAAATTAGCTTCCGGCCTTAATGTCACTCTAGATTAAAACCATCATCAGCAACAACCAGAATGTCTATCAGAATTTACCACTGAACAACTCTTCTGTTGGCCATAAAAGCTCTTTAGAAGTCACAAGAAAGAGGGAAAACTCAAACTTGCAGCTAAAACTTAAACGGAGACCCTGTTGGTGGTCTTTTGTGTATTTTAAGCAGCACAATCAATAGTTGATATGCAGCCCAGCATCCTGTTTCTCCTTGAAGGGAGAGTTCTCTCTTTTAGGGAGAGTTGAAGGTAAATGACCCAGGCAATTGTCACTCAAAGAAGTCACGCATCCATCCTCCCCACCAAGACGACGGCTGAGGACTGATCCCCTTCAACGAGAAGACACTTGAAGAGCGGCATATCGCAGAGCGAGCTGCCTTCGGCTTACCGTGCCGGCGCGGGGTCACTGGGGGTCCGGGGTCTGTGCGTGGAGTGATTCCTCCAGGCCCATGAAAAATGCCCGAGTCATGGACAGCCAGTGGACGGGTGGTGGAAGCCACAACTGCATATTTGCCCGTCTGAGGGATAGCCAGGAGGCCTAGGCCTGGCCAGCGGCAGCCTACCTTCAGCCGCCGCACCCGCACCCCTTCAACAGGGGCGGCTGGTGGCTGTTCAGAGCAGAGCTTGTTTGTCCACAGGGGTACAAATTCCTTTCTTTTGCACTCTGACTGGGTTCCTTCTTAATTTACCAACTAATATACTTAACTGAAATAATCCAAGAAAATTCTACCCATTTAACCAAAGATTTATCTCAAGAAGTGGTCATGGTAGATACTTAGGAAGGTATCGTTATCAGAATATCAAAGTTTTTCTTCTTAATCATAAGGAGAAAATTGACAAGATTATAGTTATGTAAAAATATGGCTTCAGATATTGGGGGAAAAGGTTAAATTGATTATCACAGAGAGCAACAGCAAAGTAACTAAAAGAATTTTTTTAAATTAGCAATAAAAGATAAAATGCCTGAAGGCAGTTCAGTTTCTTAGTTGTCAAACCTTACTTAAAAATTAGTATTATTTAGAAGTGGATAAGCTAATTTTCAGCAAATGAGAAGTCGGTAAGCTTAGACTGAAAAATTGAATGCACAAAGTTAAAAGAGGATCTTTCCAGTTTCGGTCAGGATCCTCACTTTATTTTAGAAATGCAAATTATCCAGGTGTTGTTTTGCTCAGTGGGAACTTTCAGATCTGTGGTGCTGGGCAAAACATTTCAAAACCACATTTTGACAACGATAGCTATAAATTCACCCGTTGTGGGTTTTTTTGGTTCCTGAAATAGACTTGACATGATTAGCTTCCTGATGCCCGCAGCAGGTGTCCTGGCGGGGGGGGGGGGGGGGGGGGCATCTTGACTCTAACTCAGCAACTGCTCCTGGCATTGCTCAACCAATTAAAAAATAAACTTAATTTGTTTTGATCAAATCTCAGTCCTGAACCAAGGGTGGCTCCTTGGCTGGACTCGGAATACCAATTCCAAATGCCTCATGACAACTGAGGGATAAGAATTCTAAACGCCTAGACATTACAAAATCAAATACAGTTGAGAGAAGAATTCTAAACGCCTAGACATTAAAAAATCAAATACAGTTGAGAGAATTCTAAACACCTAGACATTAAAAAATCAAATACAGTTGAGAGTCTCTCATGTTTCTAAGTTACACTTTGCTTCCTGGGAGCCCCTTCAAAGACAGCCTTGTCTTCTAACACTCAGGCTCTCCGGTCGGTCGGCTTTTTCTCGCAGACGCTCCCCCCACCCCCCGGCCTCCCCAAACCGCTGGGCAGCGGCTGCCCTTTCTCTCAAGAAAGGCACATCCATCACAAGACCGACACCAAATACACTTTTCCAGACAATTCTCTTTCCAACCAATATAGAACTTAAGACACAATGTAGCTCAGCACATCCCTTGCTGTGTGGAAGAAAGCCTTCCACCCGGACCATCGGCCTGGCTACCACGCCCCGCAGATGCTGTCACCAGCGGGCGACTCCCACGCGGAGTCGCCCAGCACAGTCGCGGTTGCCCTCCGGTCACTGGGACCGGCTTAGCATCATGTCTGTCCCTGGAGCCACACCAGCAGAGGTGCCTGTCCTTAGTCCAGCTTTCCAAAAGCATCAGAAAACCCAAGGAGGCTCTCAGAGCCCAGAGACGCTCCAGCCCCTGGCTGTCCCTGCCCAGCCTGCCTGGGTCCCTCTGGGGACACGTCCCAAGGACCGCTCTGTGATGCTCAGCAAACCCCACAGGCAGAAGATGAAGGCCCCAGAGAGGCAGTTCTTACCTGAGGAGACGGTGACTTGGGTCCCCAGACCCCAGATATCTAAGGCATTATCACAATGGTGGAGTCCCCATCCACATCCTACATAAACCTCGGTGCTTTACTGCCACGGCCCCTGTCACCCACACTCCAACTGGTCTCAGACACCACATCAGAGCTGACAGTTCAGGTTATTATCCTAGATGGCCCTTGCTCCCACTGGCCAGACGCGGCTGGAGCCACCAAAAATTCCAGTCTAGACTCTCAAAAGCCAAACTGCCACTGGCCTGGAAAGTGTGACTTCCAATGAGTAAGTCCCCAGTTCGCCTAGGAGCGTAGCCGTCCCTGAACGGGGGCAGATCCAGCTGGCCGCAGCCGTCCCAGGCTGGCCCGCAGAGGAGGGGGCCACCCCACAGCCAGTGAGGAGAACCGTCCTGGGCTCCCCTGGCCCAGCTTTGGGATCTGCAGGCCCGTTTGTGGGGACCCTCTCACTAGCTCCCTTTCTGAGTCCCCCAAATGATCTGGATCAAGTGCAGTTAAACTAAGAAAAAGGCAGGACCCACTAGAGGAAAAGGAGACCAGGGTCCCATCCCAGGCAATCAACCATGGGAGGGCACTTGGTGAGAACAGGGGTCTTCCCGGGTCCTCTGGACAGGAGCCCCATGAGGACCGGGGACAGTAGCGACTGGGGACCCTGGTGGCCAAGGAGAGCCTGGACCCGCGGCGGGGTCCCGGCTGCAGAATCCACAAGTAGAAGGCATCTGTCTGTGGAGTCGGAGACCCCTCTTCCCGGACCCCAGGCTGCCTTGTCCACACCGACCTGAGATTCAGACACACTCGCTTTCCCTCCCCTCCAAATAGTGCAAACTTCTCCAAAGTAAGTAGAGGAGAGGGGCTGAAAGGACTCACCTGAGGAGACGGTGACCAGGGTGCCCTGGCCCCAGTAGTCAAAGTAGTCACACTGCCTCAGACCCCTTTAGGGCATCTACAAAAACCTGACGCCCCCAGGAGCCCGGCTGGCCTGCCTCCCCTGGTTACCACAGCCCAGTGTGGCCCTTAGCTCCCCCCGTCCTGTCCCTCAGAAAAGCCATCCGCAGGACGCAGAGCCCACAGCCCCAGAGACTGCAGTGACCCCGAGACGGCTCTACGCAAAACAACGGACCCATGGCACGGTCTTTCCCAGTTCCAGACAGAGGCAGAAAGAAAACCAGCTTACCTGAGGAGACGGTGACCAGGGTGCCCTGGCCCCAGAAATCCAAGTACCAGTAACACAGTATCTGCTTTCCTGCTGGCCCTGTTCATAAACTCCCCACCCTTCCTCCCAACACTTCTCAGACGCAGGACTCACCTGAGGAGACGGTGACCAGGGTTCCGGAGCCCCAGTAAGCAAAGTAGTCACACTGCCTCAGACCCCTTTAGGGCATCTACAAAAACCTGACTCCCCAGGAGCCCAGCTGGCCTGCCTCCCCTGGTTACCACAGCCCAGTGTGGCCCTCAGCTCTCCCTGTCCTCCACCCCCACGCCTCAGAAAAGCCATTGGCAGGATGCAGAACCCACAGCCCAGAGACCCCCGTGAGTCCCAGACAGCTATACACAAAACAGTGGACCCGTGGCATGGTTTTTCCCAGTTCCAGACAGAGGCAGAAAGAAAACCAGCTTACCTGAGGAGACGGTGACCAGGGTGCCCTGGCCCCAGTGCTCAAAGTAATCATAGACACAGTGAGCTAGCCCTGTACTTGAGGCCATAGAATACCAAAGCCATGGTCTCCCAGACCCCTTGAGAGTCTGCTCTCTGCTTGAAGATGTGGCCACGCCCACCCACAGCCCTGGCAAACTCTGACACCTGCCTCAGATCCTGACACCTGCCTCAGATCCTGACACCTGCCTCTTGGTTCCCAGCAGGCTGTGGGCTACAGGGCCCCTGCCTCACCCCTCTGATATTGATTTCAGGGCTCCAGTCCCCATCCATGCCACTCTCTTCTGCTGGCCTCCTGTCCCTCAGGAAAGCTCCTCTCACCCTCCAAGATGGACAAAGTCTCTTCTGTCCTGATTTCTTCAGATCTGTGGAGCTCTGCAGGCTGCCCTAAGAAAGCTTTTGAGCTGGGTTTTTGTAGAACTGTCCATCACTGTGGTTCCAGTTAGCACTGTGGTTCCTTGCTCAGCCAAAACCTCCTGTCAGCCACAGAGCTCCTGGCTCCTCCCATCCCAGTTGCCCAGTCGGGAGCCAACCACAACCCCAGAGAAGATCACTCATGCAGGAAGTTGCCCAGAACCTCTCACTTTTAGGAATTAGAGTGGACATGAGGCAGATTGCACCCCTGTCTTTCACTCACCTGGAGTGTCAGCTGGAGAAAGGCCTGCCCTGGCGGTGGTGTGGTGCCTCTCCTGGGTGGTGATGACCCAGGCACCAGAGGTGGGCATCCCTGCGGTGAGCCCTGGGACTCCAGGCATTCTTCCTGCTCAGTGTCCTCCACGATGATGATGGCAGCTGTCTTAGTGCTGGGTCGCCTGCTTCTGGGGATGGCTGTGTCCTTATCTGTCTCTCTGGAGCTTCTAGGCCTTCGGGAAGAGTCTGAGCTCTGCCGTGGATGGGTGCAAGTGGAGGGCTAAGTGGTCAGACCGGCACAGGCTGTCCTCACCTGACCTTGCGTGGTCCTCAGGGAGAGAGAAGGCTCTATGCATTACTTATAAGACCTTGGGCCAGGCTAGACCCCTTAGTGAAGAAGGAGTAGAATTTTAAGGAGTTGAGGAGGCATAGAGGTCAGGTGTAAGCAGGGCCTGGGAACTGACACATGGGCCACTGAGGAAGGAGGCAGGGTACTCCCGGAAGTGCTACTCAGGGAGGACATGGGAGACGACATGCTGAAATGTCTGTGGGAGACGGGAAGTAAATGCCAGGTCATGGGACAGCCTGCAGATCCATTCTAGGGGAACCCTGGAGTCCGATACTGAGACTGCAGGATCACTGGCATGCTATCCTGAGACTCTGCAGATCACTGGCATGCTATCCCAACTCTGCAGGACCACTGGCGTGCTATTCTGAAACTCTGTAGGATCACTGGCTTGCTATCCTGAGACTCTGCAGGATCACTGGAGTTCGATACTGAGACTCTGCAGGATCACTGGAGTCCAATCCGGAGACTCTGCAGGATCCCTGGCATGTTATCCCGAGACTCTGCAGGATCTCTGGTGTTCTATCCTGAGACTCTGCAGGATCACTAGTGTGCTATCCCAAGACTCTGCAGGATCTCTGGTGTTCGATCACTAGTGTGCTATCCCGAGACTCTGCAGAATCTCTGGTGTTCGATCACTAGTGTGCTATCCTGTGACTCTGCAGGATCTCTGGTGTTCTATCCTGAGACTCTGCAGGATCACTAGTGTGCTATCCTGAGACTCTGCAGGATCACTGGAGTCCGATACTGAGACTCTGCAGGATCACTGGAGTCCAATCCGGAGACTCTGCAGGATCCCTGGCATGTTATCCCGAGACTCTGCAGGATCACTGGAGTGCTATCCCGAGACTCTGCAGGATCACTGGAGTCCGATACTGAGACTCTGCAGGATGCCTGGTGTGCTATCCCGAGACTCTGCAGGATCTCTGGCATGCTATCCCAAGACTCTGCAGGATCACTGGCGTGCTATCCCGAGACTCTGCAGGATCACTGGCGTGCTATCCCGAGACTCTGCAGGATCACTGGAGTCCAATCCGGAGACTCTGCAGGATCACTGGCATGTTATCCCGAGACTCTGCAGGATCTCTGCTGTTCTATCCTGAGACTCTGCAGGATCACTAGTGTGCTATCCCGAGACTCTGCAGGATCTCTGGTGTTCGATCACTAGTGTGCTATCCTGAGACTCTGCAGGATCTCTGGTGTGCTATCCTGAGACTCTGCAGGATCCCTGGCATGTTATCCCGAGACTCTGCAGGATCTCTGGTGTGCTATCCGGTGACTCTGCAGGATCTCTGGTGTTCTATCCTGAGACTCTGCAGGGTCACTAGTGTGTTATCCTGAGACTCTGCAGGATCACTGGAGTCCGATACTGAGACTCTGCAGGATCACTGGAGTCCAATCCGGAGACTCTGCAGGATCCCTGGCATGCTATCCCAAGACTCTGCAGGATCACTGGAGTCCAATCCGGAGACTCTGCAGGATCCCTGGCATGTTATCCCGAGACTCTGCAGGATCACTGGAGTGCTATCCCGAGACTCTGCAGGATCACTGGAGTCCGATACTGAGACTCTGCAGGATGCCTGGCATGCTATCCCAAGACTCTGCAGGATCACTGGCGTGCTATCCCAAGACTCTGCAGGATCACTGGCATGCTATCCCGAGACTCTGCAGGATCTCTGGCATGCTATCCCAAGACTCTGCAGGATCACTGGCGTGCTATCCTGAGACTCTGCAGGATCACTGGTGTGCTATCCCGAGACTCTGCAGGATCTCTGGCATGCTATCCTAAGACTCTGCAGGATCTCTGGCATGCTATCCCAAGACTCTGCAGGATCACTGGCATGCTATCCCGAGACTCTGCAGGATCTCTGGCGTGCTATCCCGAGACTCTGCAGGATCTCTGGCATGCTATCCCAAGACTCTGCAGGATCACTGGAGTCTGATACTGAGACTCTGCAGGATCACTGGAGACCTACCCTGAGGCTATGTGCTGGAACCTCCACTGTGGTGCAACACTGCTGTCCCACGTTCCCTTTGATTTAGGATCAAACAGAACCCCTTGCAGTCTCTTCCTCCTGTCATCTATTTTGGGGCTGTTAAAATTGATCATTTGAGAGGGTAGGACTGCCTTGCCCCTTCAGGAAGTGCTTGCTTCCGCAGTTAGCGCCTCAGTTCCGGACTGGGGCAGGGTGTGCTTCGCCCAGCCCCCACCTGGTCTGCATGCATCCCGGACTGCAAACATTCTGGAGCTCCCACACTGCAGACTCTGTCTGCCTTCTGAGGCCTGGTCCTCTCCAAGTGTGGCACGTCCTGAGGGTCCACGTGAGGATCTGACATTCAGAGGGTCCTCAGACTAGATACTCGTCCTCCCCATTTCTTCCGGCCACCATGTGTAGAACTGTCAAAGGTCGGAGGTCAGGGCACCCAGTGCTTCATAATCAGTCCTGATGATGACCTCACCGTGTCACACACAGTGAGTCCTGACCACGTCCGCACCATGTCACACACAGTGAGTCCTGACCACGACCCCACCGTGTCACACACAGTGAGTCCTGACCACGTCCCCATAATGTCACACACAGTGAGTCCTGACCACGTCCTCACCGTGTCACACACAGTGAGTCCTGACCACGTCCCCACCGTGTCACACACAGTGAGTCCTGACCACGTCCGCACCGTGTCACACACAGTGAGTCCTGACCACGTCCCCATAATGTCACACACAGTGAGTCCTGACCACGTCCTCACCGTGTCACACACAGTGAGTCCTGACCACGTCCCCCCCGTGTCACACACAGTGAGTCCTGACCACGTCCCCATAATGTCACACACAGTGAGTCCTGACCACGACTCCCCCGTGTCACACACAGTGAGTCCTGACCACGTCCCCACCGTGTCACACACAGTGAGTCCTGACCACGACTCCCCCGTGTCACACACAGTGAGTCCTGACCACGTCCTCACCGTGTCACACACAGTGAGTCCTGACCACGTCCCCACCGTGTCACACACAGTGAGTCCTGACCACGTCCCCCCCGTGTCACACACAGTGAGTCCTGACCACGTCCCCCCCGTGTCACACACAGTGAGTCCTGACCACGTCCCCATAATGTCACACACAGTGAGTCCTGAACACGACTCCCCCGTGTCACACACAGTGAGTCCTGACCACGTCCCCACCGTGTCACACACAGTGAGTCCTGACCACGTCCCCACCGTGTCACACACAGTGAGTCCTGACCACGTCCCCCCTGTGTCACAGTGAGTCCTGACCACGTCCCCACCGTGTCACACACAGTGAGTCCTGACCACGTCCTCACCGTGTCACAGTGAGTCCTGACCACGTCCCCCCCGTGTCACACACAGTGAGTCCTGACCACGTCCCCACCGTGTCACACACAGTGAGTCCTGACCACGTCCCCACCGTGTCACACACAGTGAGTCCTGACCACGACTCCCCCGTGTCACACACAGTGAGTCCTGACCACGGCCCCCCCGTGTCACACACAGTGAGTCCTGACCACGTCCCCACCATGTCACACACAGTGAGTCCTGACCACGTCCCCATAATGTCACACACAGTGAGTCCTGACCACGTCCTCACCGTGTCACAGTGAGTCCTGACCACGACCCCCCTGTGTCACACACAGTGAGTCCTGACCACGGCCCCCCCGTGTCACACACAGTGAGTCCTGACCACGACCCCACCGTGTCACACACAGTGAGTCCTGACCACGTCCTCACTCACCGTGTCACACACAGTGAGTCCTGACCATGTCCCCCCCGTGTCACACACAGTGAGTCCTGACCATGTCCCCCCCGTGTCACACACAGTGAGTCCTGACCATGTCCCCCCCGTGTCACACACAGTGAGTCCTGACCACGTCCCCACCGTGTCACACACAGTGAGTCCTGACCACGACCCCACCGTGTCACACACAGTGAGTCCTGACCACGTCCCCACCATGTCACACACAGTGAGTCCTGACCACGTCCCCCCCGTGTCACACACAGTGAGTCCTGACCACGTCCCCACCGTGTCACACACAGTGAGTCCTGACCACGTCCCCCCCGTGTCACACACAGTGAGTCCTGACCACGTCCCCCCCGTGTCACAGTGAGTCCTGACCACGTCCCCCCCGTGTCACAGTGAGTCCTGACCACGTCCCCCCCGTGTCACAGTGAGTCCTGACCACGTCCCCCCCGTGTCACACACAGTGAGTCCTGACCACGTCCCCACCATGTCACACACAGTGAGTCCTGACCACGTCCCCACCGTGTCACAGTGAGTCCTGACCACGTCCCCCCCGTGTCACAGTGAGTCCTGACCACGTCCTCACCGTGTCACACACAGTGAGTCCTGACCACGTCCCCACCGTGTCACACACAGTGAGTCCTGACCACGTCCCCACCGTGTCACACACAGTGAGTCCTGACCACGTCCCCACCGTGTCACACACAGTGAGTCCTGACCACGTCCCCATAATGTCACACACAGTGAGTCCTGACCACGGCCCCCCCGTGTCACACACAGTGAGTCCTGACCACGTCCCCACCGTGTCACACACAGTGAGTCCTGACCACGTCCCCCCCGTGTCACAGTGAGTCCTGACCACGTCCCCACCGTGTCACACACAGTGAGTCCTGACCACGTCCCCCCCGTGTCACACACAGTGAGTCCTGACCACGTCCCCACCGTGTCACACACAGTGAGTCCTGACCACGTCCCCATAATGTCACACACAGTGAGTCCTGACCACGTCCCCCCCGTGTCACACACAGTGAGTCCTGACCACGTCCCCCCCGTGTCACACACAGTGAGTCCTGACCACGTCCCCACCGTGTCACACACAGTGAGTCCTGACCACGTCCCCACCGTGTCACACACAGTGAGTCCTGACCACGTCCCCCCCGTGTCACACACAGTGAGTCCTGACCACGTCCCCACCGTGTCACACACAGTGAGTCCTGACCACGTCCCCCCCGTGTCACACACAGTGAGTCCTGACCACGTCCCCACCGTGTCACACACAGTGAGTCCTGACCACGTCCCCACCGTGTCACACACAGTGAGTCCTGACCACGTCCCCACCGTGTCACACACAGTGAGTCCTGACCACGTCCCCACCGTGTCACACACAGTGAGTCCTGACCACGTCCCCACCGTGTCACACACAGTGAGTCCTGACCACGTCCCCACCGTGTCACACACAGTGAGTCCTGACCACGTCCCCACCGTGTCACACACAGTGAGTCCTGACCATGTCCCCACTGTGTCACACACAGTGAGTCCTGACCACGACCCCCCCGTGTCACACACAGTGAGTCCTGACCACGTCCCCATAATGTCACACACAGTGAGTCCTGACCACGTCCTCACCGTGTCACACACAGTGAGTCCTGACCACGTCCCCACCGTGTCACACACAGTGAGTCCTGACCACGTCCCCACCGTGTCACAGTGAGTCCTGACCACGTCCCCACCGTGTCACACACAGTGAGTCCTGACCACGTCCTCGCCGTGTCACACACAGTGAGTCCTGACCACGTCCCCACCGTGTCACACACAGTGAGTCCTGACCACGTCCCCACCGTGTCACACACAGTGAGTCCTGACCACGTCCCCATAATGTCACACACAGTGAGTCCTGACCACGTCCCCCCCGTGTCACACACAGTGAGTCCTGACCACGTCCCCCCCGTGTCACACACAGTGAGTCCTGACCACGTCCCTACCGTGTCACACACAGTGAGTCCTGACCACGTCCTCGCCGTGTCACACACAGTGAGTCCTGACCACGTCCCCACCGTGTCACACACAGTGAGTCCTCAACCTGTCGTAACTCTTTTGCAGCATAAATGTCCCTGTTGGAAGCACATCCCTGTCCTGTTCACCTGTGGCCTATCCTGGAAGGCACAGCTGTGTTACAGGCGTGTTACAGGCATGTGCTCCCGCAAGTGACACACAATGGGATGATGGATCAGTGCAAAGTGCCAGGGCAGAGGCTGTTTGCCTGAGAGAGGGCCCGAGAGGGCCTTGGATTGACTGTGCTCCTCACGTTTGATCTGGAGATGTCGCAGAGGAGGCTTGACATCTGCTCAGAGGTGACTGATGGTGCTCACGGTGGGACGGGGTGGGTCAGGTGATCCTTCAGGTGTGAGTGCCCCTGAGCCCTGGGGGCTCATCGGGCCCCCCCAGGCCTGACTCTGCAGCAGACTGGCTGGAGCAGAAGCTGTGAGGACGCCACAGGCTCCTCAGGAGCAGAGGGTGCGGCCTCGGACCCTGGACGCCATGGGCTCCTCAGGAGCAGAGGGTGCGGCCTCGGGCCCTGGACGCAGGGCGTGCTTGATTCCGGGGAGGGAAGTGTCCACGCTCTCACATTGCTCTGCTCAGAAAGGGGTTCTGCTGCATTTAGTGGGTCCTAAGTGCTACAAAGGGATGTGGTGCTGCTCCTGGGACGCCACAGGTGTGACAGGAGCGGGGAGGGAGAGTCAGGTGAGAACAAGCAGACTGCCTCTGCCTGTACCCTGAGCCCTGGAGGCAGCGGGAAGCAAGAGTGAGGAGGAGGAGCAGAGCAGTGGGAGAGGCGCCGCTCATGCTGTCGAGCCATCGGGTGATGTGTAGGGAGCATGATATTGGAGAGACCTTGCTCATACCCACACTCCACACAGCTCAGAGAAAGGGCTGATGGGAGCAACCCTGAGCAGTGGAGAGAATATCATCCCACCTGGAGGAAGGGGACTGGCGAGGGCAGGGATGTCTTCAGCCACAGTAGCCAGCTGTGCCTCACCCTGTGGCAGCGCCTGGGGTGCCCAGTGAGGTCTGCGTCGCATCTTGGCACTCGCTTTAGAGGAGAGAGGCCATGGCAGTCAGAAGCACCTGCGCAGGCAGCCAGGGCAGCAAGGCGTGGTCATGGCCCCTCTGGCTTTCCAAACGAAGGAGCCCTTATCTTCTTCACACCTCCGTGCGGGAACATTGCCACATGCCCTGGCTGAGCTGTCCCCACACCCCAGAGGGGCCTGCTGCTAATCAGCCCCTTGTTTTGCTCTCTCCTCTCTGGGGTAGGAGCTGCTGCTCCTGTGATGGGTCTCAATGATGGAGCCAGGTTTTGGGGCCAGAATCCGAGACTGAGACCAGAGGACTGTGAGCTCACTTGCTTCTTTGGGGCAGGAGCACACCTCCCTCACCCCTTCCTTTCCATGAAGTCCAGAATACATCAGGCCAATCTGGATGTGCAGCCAACAGCACCCAGAGGGAAGAGCGCTGTTGGGGCCGGGTGAGTCTTGCTCTGTATCTGCACTGCCCAGCCCTCTGCTTCTGCAGCAATGTCCCAAGTTTCCTCCGGAGGTCATGCCAGCTCTTACCCCTCCCTCACGTTCCTAAAGACAGAGCCTACCCTAAGTGTCCAGTTGGTAGCACGGGAGAAGAGTAGCTTGTTCCCTTGGGTTCCTGGAGGGTTCCCAAGATCACTGGCCATAGCTGACTGCCCAGACTATGCTGGAGAGGAGGATGGTCTCTCATAGATGAAACTCCAGCATGAGGCAGATCCAGAAACATACAACATCAAGAATCCTACCCCTGGGCTGGGAAGGTGGCTCAGTGGTAGAGCGCTTGCCTTGCATGCCTAAGGCCCTGGGTTCGATTCCTCAGCACCACATAAGCAGAAAAAAAAAGCCGGAAGTGGTGCTGTGGCTCAAGTGGTAGAGCGCTAGCCTTGAGCTGAAGAGCTGAGGGACAGCGCCCAGGCCCAGAGTTCAGGCCCCACAACCAGACCCCCCCCCCCCAAAAAAAGAATCCTACCCCCCATCCTTGGCTATGTGCTGTCTTTATACCCAAAAGTGCCCACCATTTTTCTGCCCTGTGAGCAGAGACATGTTTTTACAGGGGTGCCATGTCTTCTCTGAGCTAAGACAGCTCCTCAGGAAGCCTCAGGCAGGGCTGGGCCAAGCTCCTTTGGCAGTAAACAGGGCAGGGCCTTCCCGTTTGCAGCTGTGCTAGGTGATGCCCTTCCCTTCCCAGAGGAGGAAGCATGGGGAGAGGATGTAAGAATCATCTGCCACAAACCTTGACATTTATGGCAGAGAAAAGAAGTGAATTTCCCCAGGATTGTTAGTTTGTTAACGTTATTTCAGCTTTTTTTTGTTACTGTTGTTGCTGGTCCTGGGGATTGAACGCTGAGTCTGGGTCTTGTCCCTGAGTTTCTTTCTGCTCAAGGCTAGTGTTCTACCACTTAAGCCCCAGCACTGTTTCCAGATATTGGAGATAAGAGTCCCTTGGGGGATGGAGGGGTTGGGGAAGTGGGGAAGGAAGAGATGGTAGGGGAAAAAGAAAGGAGGTAACAATGCTCAATAGGAAGTGTACTCATTACCTTACTCATGTAACTGTAACCCCTCTGTGCAGTATTTTTACAATAAAAATATATACTAAAAAAAGAGTCTCACAGACTCCTGCCTGGACTGGCTTTGAACCTCAATTCTCAAACTCAGCTTCCTGAGTAGCTAGGATTATGTGAGCCAGCAGTGCCTGGCTTTTTTTTTTCCTTTAAAATCTTTTACCTGTAATAGTTGTGCGTACATGGATTTGGAGTAATTGTTTTTTGTGGGGTTTTTTTTTTTTTTGGACCCAACTGAAGGCTTCTTTCTCTATCAGACAAGTTCAAACCACCACATTTAACAGGCAAGTTCAAACTATAAAACTGAATTCGGAAATCCTTACCCAAAAGACCATCAGAGACCATCACCAATGTAAAAGCAAGAGTCTTTATTGCAAGCTTGAGCTTGATCCTCCATGCACCAGGTAACTGGTGACGCTAAGAGGCCCCGAGCCCAGGGTTATAGTACTTTTTATATGCTTTTTTAGGGAAGGCAGGGACTTTGTATACATCATAACATCTTACAACAAATTATTACACATCGCAGGAAAATCATAATACAATTCTATAGTATGACTGGCGCACTACAAAGCAGAAACAGGTTGTTGGTTAGATAGAGGGCTGACGTACTGTAAACTGGTTGGCTTGCATCCAGGGTGCAAGGAGATTCGTGCTAAACTGCAGGGTTCCTTTCTTAAACACCACTTGCGGCCTGATTATGGGGTCACTATGCCCTCCAGCACCTGCCTGCCTGCGGTTTTCCCAAGGATTGTTTATGTTCCTAGTGCCCGAGAATTGCTTCTTCTGTTCATTCCCAGGCGGGGTTCATGGTCAGCTGCATAACTCATACCTCAGAAGATGACCGCTAGCTCACCCAGGCCTCAGACTCTTCAAGTTCAAACCACCACGTTTAACAGGCAAGTTCAAACCGCCACGTTTAACAGGCAAGTTCAAACTGAGGCAGGATAGCCCAGAGAAAATGAGGGATGGCAAATGCCTACCAAGAGTTCAAAAACTCAAGGTTAAAGCTCGTCCATCTACTTCCCTTAAGATTAAGGGAACATAGTCATTTTAGGGGAAATAAAGCAAGATAGACCAGGGAAAAATGTGGTACAGTAAGCTTATAGCAAATATAGGAGGCATTCATCATTTACCACCCTTAAGATTAAAGAACCAAGCTGGGTGCCAGTGGCTCTCACCTGTACCTACCTACTTCAGGAGGCTGAGATCTGAGGATTGCAGTTCAAAGCCAGCCTAGGTAGAAAAGTCCATGAAATCTTATCTCCAACAAACCACCAGAAAACCAGAAGTGGAGCTGTGGGTCAAGTGGTAGAGTGTTGCCTTGAGCGGAAGAGCTGAGGGACAGCGCCCAGGCCCAGAGTTCAAGCCCCACAACTGACCAAAAAATAAATACATAAATAAATTTTAAAAAAAAGATTAAGGAACCAAAGTCATTTCGGGGAAAATGAGACAGGATAAATTGAACAAAATGAGGCCTGGTGAAGGGAAGTCAGAAATGTATTTAGAAACATAGAAGTGCCATCTTTAGCTGGGTACTGGTGGCTCATAATCCTAGAAACACGGGAGGCTGAGATCCAACGATTGCAGTCTGAAGTCAGCCTGGGCAGAAAAGTCCCTGTGAGACTCTTATATCCAATTAACTAAAAAAAACTGGAGGTGGCACTGTGGCTCAGGTGGTAGAGCACTAGCCTTTAGTACAAGGAGGCTCAGGGACAGCACTCAGGCCCTGAGTTCAAGCCCCACAACCCCCAAAACATGCCAACTTTGCTTCTGAGAGAGAAAACAAGGTGCATTCCTCCTGGAGGGATGCATTTCTCACCCCAAGAATTAACACTTGTCTGACAGAATTTATGCCTTTGTTGTGCTTGTTGGGAAATGGAGGAGAAAGGAAGGAAACAGGCTGGACTCCATCTTCCACAGGCAAGGACTGTTTATTGAGATAGAGCAGTGAGGGACACAGCCTTCCTGTGGGCTTGGAGACTGTGTGTAGAGCTGGGACAGGAGCTGGGTGTTATGAGGTCTGGGCAAGGAGGCAGAGGTCAATGAGAAAGCTCCTAGGTCAAGCGAGGGGGAGCTTTTCGGTTGGGCCCACGATGGGACATTTACAGCCAGACCTAGAGTGATTGCCCTGCTGGAGTCAGGCAGCCTGCACTCATCTTTGGTGGGTTGCCTGGTGTCTGTATGCGCCTGGGAAAACAAGGCAGGAGTCAGTCCTTCATAGTCCATCTTTGGATGCATAGAAAGAATTGGCCTCGAGGAAATTCCTTCATCTAGGGTCTTTGGATATATAACAAGAATGGGCTGAGTGGGGAGCAACATGTTGTTATAAGGAGAACAAAGCAGATTTCCACCATGTAAAGCCCTGAAGGAGTATAAAAAGTGGAGGGAGGTCTGGAGGGAGGTCGTGGTCTTTTCTGGCTACTTCCTGCTCTGGGGCTGGGCTCTTCAGGGTCCAGGTCTGCGCCGGGCAGGGCAGGGCAATGTAAGCGAAACCTCTGGGTACCTGCAGTAATAGGACAGCCTTGAAGTACTCCCAGGGG